AGGCACATAGAATACATATTATAGTCTTGCTTGCAACCTTAGACGTTCGCAATGCCTTCAATACCGCAAAATTGGAAAATATGATACACGCACTAGAAGAAGTCTACAACATATCCACGTACCTTAGACTCATGGCTACCTGAAAGGCGGGGAGTCATTGTACCATACCACCGATGGACCCCGGCAAATGACGATCACGTCGGGCGCAGCACAAGGCTCCATTCTTGGGCCAGACCTATGGAACGTTAGCTACGACGGAATATTAAACCTTGAGATGCCTGATGACACATATTTAGTAGGCTACACTGATGACATTGCCGCAGTGATCACCGCAAGAGACACCGAAGATGCCCGCCACAAATTAAACCAGACTATGATAAGAACACAGGCATGGCTCGACTCACACGGTCTTAAACTTGCAGCAGTGAAACCCGAGCTAATACTCCTAACCAAGAAGCATATTCCCTAAGAAGTGAGCATGAAACTGACTGGCATTATATTAAATACGCCAAGAGTAATAAAGTACTTAGGCGTAAGACTAGACCCCAGACTAACGTATTGGGCACAAATGCAGCACGCAGACGCAACGGCTTACCTAAGCAGATTAATGGCCAATATTGATGGACCGACCCAAAGTAAAAGAAAAACGGAGATCTGGTCTGACACCTTACATAAAAATAGCCGTTGCAAGATACTTTGTAGAGCCCATCGCACATCAGCTTTAAGAGTAGCCTCTACGTACCGTACAATACTAGTTATAAGCGGAACGGTTCCCATTCACCTGCTAGCAGCCGAACTCAAGAAAATGTGGGAGCTTAAGGCGCAAACGAATCCAAGCGCAATAATCTGCAAGACCTTGTAGGACCAATTAACTCAGATAACGTCATCCAAGCCATGCTACATAGCGAAACTAACTAGAAGAACATAGTTAAATATGCAGAATACTTACTTAGACTCAAGAAGCGGGAGCTGGACGCAAATGCACCGAGGGAACTTTAGTTAATGAGAAATATGGAACGCCAATCTGGAGCAATGCGATTAGTGGTCCCAGGGTGGGCGACGGTTCAATAGGGAACTTTAGTTAATGAGAAATATGGAACGCCACCCTGGAGCAATGCGATTAGTGGTCCCAGGGTGGGCGACGGTTCCAATTCGGAGGGAGTGTTTTAGTCTCCGGACAAACCATTGTTGTGACGACAGATTTGATGATGCAATAGGCATTTTCGACCCCCTGCTCGCGAAAAAAAAATAAAATGGTCACGGAACCTACCAAAGCCCAATCAAGCCTACCAACCTACGACTTAAAAAAAAATACCAGTTTTGGTAGGAAAAGCTCATGTGTGGCAACACTGGTTGCGTTATCGTTTCGCCCTCAAAATTTGCGCCGAGCGCGTGCACTAAATTGGCCATCTATCTGACTACTTGTCGTTATCGGCAAATCGTAAAATATACCAAAACGGATAACTACGACATTGGCGTTTACTGATAGTTGTCTACGTATTTTTTGTTCACATTTTATAGGGAACAAGCAGTTTTTAGCAAAAAAAACCGACTTCAACTTTCATAAAAAAAATATATATATATATATCTCATGATCCACTGATCGGATCTTAACCAGATTAGTGTGGGGCCACCTCTGAGACACTACCTTTCCGATGCAAAAAGAATTATCGAAATCGGTTGATCGTGGTCCAAAGTAATGCGCTAACATACATAAAAAAAAATAAATAAAAAAATATTCCGTCGAACTGATAACCTTCTCCTGTTTTGGAAGTCGGTTAAAAAATAAGTGGCTAATATAATAATTATATTTTGGCGCTTACGCTTTTGCTAAGTTTTTGGCAAGAGCTCCTCCTCAAATTTGCTGTATGCTCTCTAGGCTCTATTGCACCAACAACTTATGATTGGTATGTTAGAAAATTATCAATGCTGTGCCAAGTTATGTTGGTCATTAACTTAGGGCCAGTTGTTTAATGTTCAAATAACCAATTTTACCCGATTAGATAAGCACTAAAACATTGGCAAATATGCTTACAAATATGCTCGAAAAAAAACAAAAAAAAAATTGAAGTACAGTTCATTTTTTTGTTTTTAATTCAGTTTATTTCAAGAATTGAAGAATTACAATGGACAATCAAGTTTGCCCATTGTGAATGCCCTCTGTGAGTGCCAGGAGAGTAACATCCTTCTAACCGAGGTTAATCCATAATGTCAGTATAAAGTCTGTCAAACCATGAAAAAGCGTGATCCCCAATGCTTGAGACGCCTTGTGTGAAGAGCTGAGCATTGACAAACAAAACTGAGATATTTTTTGAGTCCCCATAGAGGAATCTGAACCACCTGAATCTGAAGAACAGCCTAATGTATACATATTAAAATACTCCTTGTACAATATACAGCTATAGAAAAATGGACAGTGAAGTAAAATATAACATCATTAATTTTTTTTTTTATATTTGTATGTATGTACAAGGTGGCGCTAAAGTAATCCTCCTATCAGAAAATGCTATAAATTTTGCGATTGGCCCCTAATGTCAGTTCTGTTTTGACATTTGTGTAGTAAACACATGCGAAATACACGTTAATAAACAATGTTACGCTACACTGCTCCAGCACGCGGAATATTGCTGACTATTTATTTGACCAAGAGGAAGATGATTTTTCATCAAAAATAATCATGAGTGATGAGGCCCATTTCCATCTTAGCGGGTACGTAAATAAGCAAAATTTACGCTTCTGGGGCACTGAAAATCCGCGTGTAACCCACGAAGAGCCATTACACCCGCTCAAAGTCACTGTATGGTGTGCTGTTTTCGCTGGAGGAGTCATCGGACCTTTTTTCTTCGAAGACGTCGCGGGCCAAACGGTTACTGTGAATGGTGAGCGCTACAGAGCAATGATCAACGAGTTCTTTTTGCCGCAACTTGATGAATTGGGATTGGAAAACATGTGGTTCCAACAGGACGGTGCAACGGCACACACTGCACGTGCCACAACCGATATGCTGAAGGATGCATTTCCCGGGCGCCTAATATCCCAGCAAGATCGCCTGATTTGACCGCTCCAGACTTCTTTTTGTGGGGCTTTTTGAAGTCGCGGGTTTATGTCAACAAGCCTCAGACTCTTGCAGCTCTCAAAGACAATATCCGTCAAGAATGTGAGGACCTATCGCCGGAAGTTTTGGCCAAAGTGATGGAAAATGCCATAAAAAGGGCTCAAATGGCAATCAACTGTGGCGGCGGCCATTTACATGACATCATATTCTCGACTTGATGTAAAAAAAATTAAAAGACCAAATAAAAATAATCCACAAGAAGAATCAAAGTTTTTCATTTTTTTTTTAAATTACAGCCAAAAAACATCGCAAGGTTACTTTTGCGCCACCTTGTATATTTGCATTTGTATTTGTATGTACAACATACTTTTAATAAATATTTTTACCCATAATTTTTATCGAATGACCTTTTTTCGTCAACCTAAATTATCTTATTTATCGACTGGAACAGTTCATTCAAGCGATGCGTTTACTCATAATTTTACAACTCTTTCCTTTGAGTGTCGGCAGTAAAGGAGTTCCATCTTCATGGAGTGCTTCCTCGTAAGGACACTCCAAATCTGTCTTGAATCCGACTTTTTTTGCTAGGCTCTGGGAAGTTGGACTCGAAAACACCGTTGACGTGTACTCGATACCGTACTTTTTTCCAATTCCGTCTCTGATAAGAAATAAAAGAAGATTAAACTTTTGTTGACGTCGCAGTGGCCAAATCTAGTAACCTCAATTGTAATAGCTTTTGACCCAATCCAAGTCGCCGGTATTCAGGTTTTACACTCAATCCAAGAGCACTTAGATATTTATCGACCATGTAGATCTTCCGAGGGTCCGCTAGGGCAGAAATTGTCATTACGTAGCGTAAGAGATCCGCAAATTTCGATTTACCCTGCGTATCAAACAATTCGATCGCTGTTTTTTTTACAGCTTATACATAAATGTAAATCGAGGACTTATGTATGTATCTATATTCAAATAGTGCTATCTCACCACAGCAAGACTGACCTAACGCATTCTCCAATACACTTACAAAATTGTCAATAAAAACCAATACATTACCGGGGTAAAAGATTTCGTAAGCTATTTTATAAATAATAATACAAAGTCTACTGAGAAAATACCATTGATTGTCCAGATACACGTTTTTGCGATATATCTCCTTTATGTAGGAAGCTAAACCCATTAAATTGGGTTACCGGTTTACATACCAATCACACAGCAGTGAAAATCACTTAGATTGGTGCTATATAAGGTATATCTTCCATACCTCTGATTGTTTAGATATGATTTTTTATATATGTAACTCCTCTATCTATGTATGTTGTGAATATATGAATTTTTTTCAAATGCAGTTATCTGTTAAAGTGCTGCTCTTACTTGTTTAATTGGGACATAGGCACTTAAATACTTATATTTTTGTTTTCTATTTAAAATTTTCCTTTAATTATTCGAACTTTATAAAAAAAATGCACTTGAAACTTAAAACTAAACCGGTTGCGTAAACAATGTTTTGAAAGTGTAACTTTGTTTGATCGCAGTCTAAGCGTGTTTTTTATTTTACAAAAACCAAGTAAAGTTTTTGTAATTTTGGAGTATACCCTACAGAATGGCAACAAAAAATAATGTAAAAATGCGTTTACGAAAAAAGAAAATTTTGAAAAATATGTCGCTTCCATCTTTTGGCGGTTAGAGCTCGGTATGTAAATGTGTTACTTATTTTAGCACCGGCAATAAAATATTAGGAAAATATTTGTAATTGCATATTTTACATGTTTATAGTGCATTATTTTGAATTTTGATTGCATATTATATGCGCATATTTTCGATTTTTTAGTGCATGAGATTCTTAGCCCCAGTGATAAGGAATAAAATGAAGTGTACAACTCAATTAACTAAGAATCAGGTAAATAGAAAGCCGCACAGTTATCACCAACACTCGTGAATTAAATAAAATTTCGAAAAAATCTGTGAATTTACCTTCAGTGATTTCATCGCCTTATCCGTCTCTTCGTCAACGTAAACAAGCACATTCATACCAGCAAGCGTTGGTTCTGCATCCTCCTTAGTAATCTCGAATGCAGCGACGGAAATTCCTTGTGACAATGCCTGACCCCATAATTTTCGCCCCGTTTCTATCGATTGGGGATCGTTTATCACACCTGAAGGATAATTTATATAATAACCAGTTAGATAATTAATTTTTTTTATTAATAGTTTAACAACCGATTTGAATGCACATTTATAAATATTTAGGAATACCGTTAGTTTCTTCATGATCCAATGATCGGAATTACCGAAAACGGTTCACGTGATTTAAGGTTATTCGGCAACATACATAAAAAAATATAAATATTCCGACGAATTCATAACCTCCTCCTCTTTTTTTGACGTCGCACAGTGTGGCGCGTAGAACAAGCTAGGTGAACAAAATTATTTACGAATCGTTTTGGGGTATACTTGAGATGCTGATTTCCGATATGCTATCCTTTTTCAGATTGATTTTTGCAAAATTTTTGTTGCTGAAACATATATTTGCCATCACCATGGCAAACATTTATTTTATATATGCAAACTGCGCAACTGGGAAAATCCTGGCGTTGTATACTTTTCTTTACGCCTATCGCATCAAGAAAGCTATGGAGGTGAACTTTTCGATCACGTTTACCGATCTTTGGCCATTCTTCGAAAAATTCCAAACTTTTAACATAGTAAGTGCGTGACATGTTACTTTCGGTCCGTAAAAGGTGTGAAATAATAAAAATAATTATATATACATTTTTTTTAAATTTCCGAAATTCATTTTCACAATATCATAAATAGTCCAAGATTTAGTTGTAATGAGCAGTTTTAAAAAATACGACTTGAAATATAATACATAATTAAAAACTAACACAAAATCACATATATACTTCCACACTGAGAGGTTTTTCAAAAAGTAGATATAGAAATCAACTAAAATATTTTTGAAATTCAGTAAGACTATAAATTGATATCCTAACACTGCCCCCATACCAACAATAGAATGTAGAACATAAAAACCTTTTCAGTCAGAGCGTGGATATCCTTTACGTTAATAAGTTACGCTTTTATAGAAATCCTTGCATGAATTTTAGAAAAACTCAGTAGAGAAATACATACACAAAGTATTGGCACAGCAAATTTTTCACAATATATGCAACAATTTTTATTCTAATATTTTTTCCGCCAATTTTGTATAAAAATATGGTTCATTCAACAACAAAAAATATATGTACAAATGTCATTCCTAAACTCGCGAAAATTCAGCAAATTTTCATCAAAATTTTCAACTTTTTAATCAGATTTTTTAGAATTTTCTTGAGTATGCAGTTTTGCAGCCCATCAAATTCTAGTAAAAAAAATGAAACTTCAGAGTTAGTCAAAAATCGCGTTCGTTTTTAAGATTTTTTTTGTTGAAGGTGTTTTGCATCTTTTCCATATAAAGTATTTTCGAAAAAAAATGTTTGTATGGAAGAGACTGCGTGAAAAAAAATTGCCAAAAATCAACCGTAATTCCTAGCTACTTAAAACTTGCACTTTATTGTAATAAGCTTGACTGGGCTACAAATCTGCATACTCAAAAATTCTGATTAAAAAGTTTAAAATTTTCATGAAAATTTGCTGAATTTTCGCGAGTTTTGCACAAAGTTGAGGAATTATATTTTTATGTTTTTTGCTGTAGAATGAACCATATTTTTATACGAAATTAGCGGAAAAATATTAGAATGAAAATTGTTGCGTATATTGTGAAAAATTTGCTGTGCCAATACTTTGTTCCGGCAGTGTACATATCGAGCCCTAACCGCCAAAATAACGTAAGCGACATTTTTTTCAAAATTTTCTTTTTGATGCAGAAATGCATCTAAATCCTCTAGGAATATTTCTGCATCAAAAAAAAAAAATATTGAAAAAAGTGTCGCTTACGTTATTTTGGCGGTTAAGGCTCCATATGTATGTAATCTCTTTTTAGTGTAATAATTTCTTTCCATTCGTTGCATCACTAACCCATAGCCCGACATATTGTTTCATCCTTCACGAAGATAGAGCACATATGGCAAAGTGCCTCTTCGTACCGCTCCTCAGGAATTTCCTGCAGTGAGAATTTTCTCTTCTCTCCAGCAGAATCAATCAACTCAATGACACTCCACACAAGTGGGGGGCCAACTGGTCGAGACCACACCATTCTTCTTCGATAATAAAAATATTGAGGCGATATGAAAATGCTGTGGACCGTGTAATCCGAATAATAGAGTTCAGATAGAACGTACTCGGTGAATGATGTAGATTGGTGTACGGAAGAGACGTTAGAATCTTCTTTGAATTATATTCGTATGTATAATACAGTTGCTATCAATTTAGTTGACTAACGTTAATGTACGTGTGCCGCTGCTATATGATAACTGGATGCAATATTAGTGGAACCTTTATTTATAATACGAATGTAATAGCTACGAGCGTTTGTCGTCTAATCATAGTTGCATTGACCACATGCACTTCAATGGCTTACCTTGTCGTTATCAGCTAGCTATCGGCAAGTCTTAAAATACACAGGAACGGGTGGGTGCGACATTTACTAATACACTCCGTATCATAATTATAAACGCACAAAATATTACAAGTTTTAAAAATTTATATTTTTTCTACTACTACTACTAATTTTATTATTTTATTATGCCAGCGCATGGAAGCTGCTCCACAACCGAAGTCCGACAAGCCTGAAAGATGCCAAGTTTCGGACTTGTTTCAGGTCTACAGGCGTGACAGTTGACTCATTAAACTTTCTTCTTCTTTTTTTATTTTTTTATTTTTTAGTCGATATCTCATTTGTTGGAAAATTCATTCCTACACTTTGGGTATTTATAAACCAGGGGTGGGCAAGGCCGAGGTCGAAAAGAGCCACATGTAAATTCTAAATGCTACAAAGGGCCACAAAAAAAAACAGCAAAAACAAAAATTTTATTTCTAAATAAAATTATTATTAGAAATGAAAGATATTATTTTTATTATTATTCTAATGTACGTAAGATAAATATTAAAGAAAATTTAGAAGATCCCTTTGGCCAAATTTTCAAAATCTGGTTTTACGTCAGTTAAAGCCCATCGTAACAGTTTTAAATTTCCAGTAAAAAATGTCCAACAGCAAGATTCTGGCGAAATGTTATCTGTACTCCCACAAGAGAAAAATATCCAAAATAGTACGCGAACAGAAATTTGCAGCAACCTGCAAGTTAGACGAACATTAGTAGCGTTCTTGTGCAACATAGTTTGTACCAGTTTGTACTAACTATCACGTTTTGGTGTTCTTGCACCCAAAAAACTTATAAGAAATTTTCTTTTTTGAGGAGAAGTTGCTAGTTTTTACTGGATACATTTTTGCTAATAAGAACTTGCAAGTGAGAAAAAACAGCTGATCGCATGTTGCTGGGTGGAATTGAAACTAGTAAAAGAAATGTTTATGAGGTTTTTATAGTTGAAATTGACAAAATAAACCCATTTAAATATAATATATATTGTTTTATTAGTAACTAGCTGCGAATAAACAACAAATTAATCAGCTGTTCGTAAAACTTGCAAACTACTAACGAATTCTCAGAAATTAAGTTACTGGAGAGTTACATTTAAATAATTTCAAATCGGCAAGTCTTTTTTCAAAATCTGCTTTTAAATCATGTGCAATATTTTTTTCTAGCCATGGAAAGTGATGAAATATTCTGTTTTTGAGATCATAAATAAAAAGGCGTAGTTTAGTTTCAAAACTTAAAATAATTTGCGATAAATCAAAAACGTTTTTATTCTCTCTTGTAAAGACAAATTCAAATTTTGCAAATGTTCCCTTATCTTGGTAAAGAACATTAAATCAGAAAGCCAATTTTCATTCTCCTATTGCGGGTAATGTTCTGAAAATAGTATAAAAAAAAAAAACACAATGGAAAAGAATGTCCAGCAAAGAAATATCTGTTTTAAAAAGCAAACAGAGCCAAAATGTTCTAAGCAAAGAGAAAGTAAAAAGAGCCGCACTTTGCTAAGCAAAGGGCCGCATATGGCTCAAAGAGCCGCGTTTGCCCACCGTTGTTATAAACAAAATAATTTTTATCATTTGCCACTAAATCGTTTCTTATTTTATAAAAAAATATTCTTTTTAAATTTCAAAATTAATGAAAATGTTTACAAATGTGCCGCTCGCCTGATAAGATTGACCGACTTCGAAAGCCTTACGGCCTGAAAAACTTGCTATGGAGCTTCAGCCTCTGTTATGTTTATGTAAGGGCCACTTACCATTCAATTCAAGTGCAGTTATCACTTGGGTGAGATACTCTCGAGTGCATAATTTATCATATACTCCACCACAATTAAATATACATATATATATTTTTTTAATTTATTAAATGCAATCACAAATCACTTCGGACAAGGCCCAGCCGGAAATGAAATTAATCTAAAAGTAGTTACACTTCTTTCAATAAGAACTAATGTCTCATATTGCATTTATTTTCAACAACTTTAAGTTCAACAACTCAAGAGAATGGTGGCTCTGGTAACAGTATTCTTCATGCCGCAATTAGTAGAGAAAATCGGCTCCACACAAGTTGATCGATGAGGGGAGATTTTATTGATTATCTAGTGCAGCTGATGCTCTAAAAACATCTCTGCATCAAATAGAAATTTTTGGAAAAAACGTCGCTTAGATCTTTATGGCGGTTAGGGGTCGATAAATTTTCTATTTTTCAAAATATATTTGTTTTATACTATATTTCCAGATACCAGGAACTGACGTAGTCGTAGAGAAGGGAATGCACATTTGTACATATATTTAATAAATATATATAAAATAAATAAAAAATTATTATTTATATACGGACTTCATGAGTACCCAAAATTCTTTGATGATCCAGTAGTTTTCAATCCCGAAAGGTTTGGAGATGGCCAGTCAATTTCAGACGCTTATATTCAATTTGGTTTAGGTCCTCGAATATGCGCTAGTAAGAAAATTTTCTTAAATAACTCAAAAATGCCATCATTGCATTGAAAAATCGAAAGTGAGAGATAATTAGTGCCTCTCAAGCCAACGAACTTCCGGTTAGTCATCACCACAATCATCATCATTAATTGATTAACCTTGATACATACTGTTGTGTATGCAAATTAAAATTTACTAACAACAATGAATTTTTATTCTCAATGTAAAACTAATTTTAATGTAATTGTAATTTTTTATATCTGGCAACACTGAACTATAGCCACGAGAATAAACGTGAGTAGGTTTAGAAAGACCATTGCGTGCACATCTCATCGGCAACCGAATTGCGTGAGTATACCATCGACTTGTTATCACCAACTACAAGTTTAACATCTGGCGACGAGGAAAAAAAAGAATACAACGATGACTGAAGAGTTTTTCAAAAAATTGATGGAGGAGCAACGTAACTTCACTCTCAGTGTGCTAAAGGAACAGAAGGCTTGGATGGACAGCCTTTCGAGAAGGCCTCCAGGTCAAGATGCTACTCTGGTTCCAGCTTTTGTGCAGTTCAACATTCAACAGCAGAAATGGGAGTCCTACCTGGAACAACTCAAGCAACATTTCTCTGCTTATGCTGTAATTGACGCCAACAAACAGAAATCATTTTTCTTATCTTGGTTGGGCAATGACGCTTATGAAACACTAAAAAAACTTGTCGGCGTTGACGAGTTACAAAAACAAACGTTTCTTGAACTTTCTGGAAAACTAACGGAATTCTATAAAGAAAAGGTTCATGTAGTTGCAGCTCGTTATGAATTCCATAAGGCAGAAATGGGCAGCCGTACCTACAAAGAATGGGTAGCCGATCTGCGAAGCTTAGCCCGGCAGTGTGATTTTGTGTGCAAAAAAGAAAATTGTATGCATGATTACTCGGACGATATGATCAGAGACAAAATAATTTTGAATTCGCCCCACGATGCAGTTCGTACGGCAGCCTTACAAAAACCGCAGCCAACGCTGGCCGAAGTGCAGCTCATCGCCGATTCACTTGAATCAACAACAAAGACGGTAAGCGCAATCAAAGACAAAACGAACACTACAAATGCAGTAGATAGCAATGGAATTTACTTGATGTCAGCGAGGAACACCGAAAAAACTAACATGCGTAACAAAAACAAAAAGAACAAAAAACCAAAATACCGTTCATGCACAGGCTGTGGAGTTTCACATAATAGAGATGATTGCAAATTTAGAAGCGCTGTTTGCCGAAATTGCGGCAAAACAGGCCATATTGCAGTCGTATGTTTATCAAGTGAAAAGAAATACGAACAAAAGCAGAATAAAGCCAGCAAAGTCAACAAAGGTGACAAAATAGAATACATTTCAACGGCATTTTCGGTAGCTAGCACAGTTAGCGGAAAAAATAAAAAACGTTTTGTGGAAGTTTTTGTTAATGGCATAAAGACAGAATTTCAGATGGATTCTGGTGCTGAAGTCTCCGTAATAACATTGGACACCTACGAAATGTTAAATAAACCATTACTGAAGCCATGTTCGCGTGAACTATACGGCTACGGTCATACTCAAATAGAAACTTTGGGTGAATTCTCTGCGAAAATTCAATGCGGTTCAGTCGAGAAAATATTGCCACTAGTAGTTTCGAATGTGCGGGGTTCTAGCAATTTGTTCGGAGTGGACTTATTTGAAGAATTGGGATTCAAAATTGTGCAAATTGATACATTGACCGTCGAGTCATCCGAAAAATTGCAAACGCTGTTGACTACTTTCGCAGATGTGTTCACTCCAGCACTTGGTACAATTAAGTCAGTCAAAGCCTCGATTAAACTTAAAGAAAACGCAGTACCTAAGTTCAGCAAGAGCAGACCAATTCCTTTTGCCCAGCTACCAAAATTTAAAGAAGAAGCGCAACGATTATCACAAGCAGGTATTTGGCAGCAAATTACATTCAGCGACTGGGCATCCCCCATCGTGCTAGCAACAAAACCGGATGGATCAGTACGCATCTGTGGAGATTTTAAGAGAGGCGTTAACCAGCAAATTGATGTAGATCAATATCCTCTACCTACTAGGGAGTGCCTACTACACACAGTTCGACACGGCAAATATTTTTCGAAGATAGACTTGCGCGACGCATATCTTCAAATGGAGCTCGACGAGGAGTCCAAAAAAGTGCTAGTGGTCAACACGCCACTGGGCTTGTTTCAGTACCAGCGACTGCCATATGGGGTAGCGAGCGCACCAGCCATGTTCCAGAAACATCTCGAGCAGCTATTATGTGGAGTTGAAGGATGCGCAAATTACATCGACGACATCATTGTGGCAGGCGCGGACGAAAAGGAACACATCGAACGCTTAGCCAAAGTTTTAAATATACTACAAGCAGCAGGTATCAAATGCAAGAGGGAGAAATGTGAGTTTTTAAAGACCAAGTTAACGTATTTGGGTCGTGAAATAAGCGCAGATGGTATTTTACCAGATGAGTCTGGAGTCCGAGCTGTGAAGAACTTACGGCGCCCGACAAACTTAAAAGAGCTTGAGGCATTTATGGGAAAAATAAATTACTACCACAATTTTATTCCAAATTATTCCCAACTTGCAGCGCCAATGAACAAACTAAGGCGGAAAAATGTGACTTTCCAGTGGAAGTCAGAGCAAGAGAACGCGTTCAACGAACTCAAAGGGCATATCATAAAAGCAACCATGCTGGCTCATTTTCAAGAAGAACTACCAATCGTGTTGGCTACTGACGCCTCATCGTATGGGGTTGGAGCAGTGATCTCCCATGTTTATCCGGATGGGACCGAGCAACCGATTGCTTTTGCCTCCAAGACCCTCAATCGTCATCAAGAAAACTACAGCCAAATAGAAAAGGAGGGTTTGGCAATAATATTCGGTGTGCAAAAATTTCACCAGTTTTTATACGGGCACAAGTTTACGCTTATAACGGACCACAAACCGCTGGTCAGCATATTTAGACCCGATAAAAATCTTCCAACCATGACGGCTCAACGTATTCAGAGGTG